ATGTAGTCAAAGAAGTGAGGGGGATTCCATTTCCTAGATGAGAAGATGGAGACTCGGCTTATTTTATCCAGCTAGAGATGCTAGTGTGTGAGGGAGGGTAGACAAGGTGTCTGGAGTGGCAGCAGTTACCTTGTAACCAGGGGACATCAAGAATGAAGATAAACTCAACATACTAAGGATGGTGGAGCAGGAGACTAGAAAGCACCTAGATCCTCTTGATGATATTTTAAAATAGCAGAACCAGTGCCAGTGATTGCTTCTGTCTGGATAACTTGTCATTTGAAGAAAAATAACTATCTGTTTGCAAGCAATCAGTTCAGTATTCTGTCACTGGCAACTAAAAGCAATTCTAAATGACATGTTGCTCCTATCCCTAATTTTTGGAACTCTACTGTGGGACAGAGCTCTACTTTACTACACTTTAAAATGTAGTAATTGACTAATCTGATTAAATTCATTTATACTATAATTTGTAATAAGGGTCTTCAGATTGTGGTGCCAATCTTAGCTTAACCTTGAGACTGTATTCAGGATTACAGAGTCCAGGAAAGAGGATCTACGGGTCAGCAAGCTACAGCCATGAGCCAAATCTTGCTGGCAAAAGCCAGGCAGCTAAGAAAGGTTTTCATATTCTTGCTTTCGGCTGTGCCACATGGCATGTGGGATCCTTCCTGACCAGGGGTGGAACCTGTGCCCCTGCATTTGGAGAGTAAAGTCTTAACCACTGGACTAACAGGGAGGTCCAAAAGGTTTTCATATTTATAAGGGTTTGTACTAGTGCCCCCGCCCCACCCCCCCCCCCACAACAACAACAACAGGAATATCTGACCAGAGACCATAAGTGGCCACAAAGCTGAGAGTTTATTATATGGACCTTCATGGAAAGATCATGCCAACCTTTGCACTAGTCACACAGAGGACTCACCTATCATGAAGTTGAGAATGGGTTTTACTAAGGTAAGTTATTAGGTCAGCATTTAATACCTTTGAAAAATTATTGTAAATCACTGTGTAAAGCTTTTGGCACAGGTAAAAATGAATTCTATCTTCAAATTAGGTTTCTTTTCAGCTCAACATTTGTTGAATTTCTGTTATTACAAGACTATGGAAGACATTGAAGTTACACAATGAATAAATCAGGGTCTTAATATAACTGGAAATGACTTCAGGGAGTAATCTTCTCTGGGAAAAATGATCCATGCAATATTCTGAGCAAAAGACAAGGGCTTGTATAAAAAGTATTGAATAAAAAATTAAAAAAACATTTTATGGAAGGATAATTGCTTTACAATATTGTGCTGGTTTCTGCCATACATTAACATGAATCAGCCACAGGTATACATATGTCTCCTCCCTCATAAACCTCCCTCCCATCTCCCACCCTATCCCACCCCCTAGGTTGCCACAGCTCACTGAGTTGAGCTCTCTGTATTCCACAGCAAATTCCCACTGGCTATCTGTTTTACATATGGTAATGTATACATTTCCATGCTATTCTCAGTTCATCCCACCATCTGCTTCCCCACCATGTCCACAAGTCTCTTTTCTGTGTCTGCATCTCCACTGCTGCCCTGCAAATAGGTTCATCCATACTATCATTCTAGATTTCATATACATGGACTAATATACAATATTTATCTTTCTGACTTAGTTCACTCTGTACAACAGGGTCTAGATTCATCCACCTCACAAAGATTGACTCAAATACATTCCTTTTACAGCTGAGTAATATTCCATTGTATATATGTACCACAACTTCTGTACCCATTCATGTTGATGGACATCTAGGTTGCTTCCATGTCCTAGTTATTGTAAAAAAAAAATGCTGACTGAACAATGGGGTACATGTGTCTCTTTCAATTATGGTTTTCTCAGGATATATTCCCAGTAGTGTAATTGTTGGGTCATATGGTAGTTCTAGTCCTAGTTTTTTAAGGAATCTCCCTACTGTTCTCCATAGTGGTTGTATCAGTTTACATTTCCACCAGCAGTGCAAGAGTGTTCCCTTTTTTCCACATCCTCTACAGCATTTATTGTTTGTAGATTTTTTTAATGATGTCCATTCTGACTGTGTGAGGTGTTAGCTCATTGTGGTTTTGATTTGCATTTCTCTAATAATGAGTGATATTGAGCATCTTTTCCTCTAATAGTTTTATCATTTTTGGCCCTACACTTAAATCTTGACTCCATTTTGAAGTTATTTTTGTGTATGGTGTTAGACAGTGTTCTAGTTTCATTCTTTTACATGTAGCTGTCCAGTTTTCCCAGCACCACTTTTTGGACTGGTTGTCTTTGAATGAAAATTTTTTTCTGTATTGGGTTTCTGTGACAGTCCAGTGGTTAGGACTTGGCACTTTCACTGCAGGGGCCTGGGGTTTGACCCTGGTTGGGAAACTAAGACCCCTCATGCCATGAAGAGTGGCCAAATTAAAAAATATATATATGTATCTATTTTTTTTTTAAGTAGAAAAGGAGGAAAGGATGGAAAGCAAGTGGTTGGAATTTTGGGTCTATAACTCAGGAACAGGAGGGTAAAAAAGGAATGAACAACCACTAATAGCTACTTTCTATATGGTAGTCAAATTGTTACATCAGTCCCCATTGATTGATATGGCAAATATTATTTTGTAATTTCTACTTCAGGTCATACGCTCCAGTGTTCATATTGTTTTTACTAAATCAAACTGCCTCCTACAGGGAAGAAAGGATTGAAGATAAAAATTAGGAGAAGATTCACAAATCTGTTGAGGAGGCAGATAGGGAGATTGTAGATAAAAGGGTCAAACACAAAACCCGAAGGATTGCCTGCATTTAATCATGGAAAGAAGTGAAGAGGAACTAAAGAGCCTCTTGATGAAAGTGAAAGAGGAGAGTGAAAAAGTTGGCTTAAAGCTCAACATTCAGAAAACTAAGATCATGGCATCTGGTCCCATCACTTCATGGGAAATAGATGGGGAAACAGTGGGAACAGTGACAGACTTTATTTTGGGGGGCTCCAAAATCACTGCAGATGGTGATTGCAGCCATGAAATTAAAAGATGCTTACTCCCTGGAAGGAAAGTTATGACCAAGCTAGATAGCATATTAAAAAGCAGAGACATTACTTTGCCAACAAAGGTCCATCTGGTCAAGGCTATGGTTTTTCCAGTGGTCATGTATGGATGTGAGAGTTGAACTGTGAGGAAAGCTGAGCACTGAAGAATTGATGCTTTTGAATTGTGGTGTTAGAGAAGACTCTTGAGAGTCCCTTGGACTGCAAGGAGATCCAACCAGTCCATCCTAAAGGAGATCAGTCCTGGGTGTTCATTAGAAGGACTGATGCTGAGGCTGAAACTCCAATATTTTGGCCACCTGATGTGAAGAGCTGACTCATTGGAAAAGACCCTGATGCTGGGAGGGATTGGCGGCAGGAGGAGAAGGGGGCGACAGAGGATGAGATGGCTGGATGGCATCACTGACTCGATGGACATGAGTTTGAGTACACTCCGGGAGTTGGTGATGGACAGGGAGGCCTGGCGTGCTGTGATTCTTGGGGTCGCAAAGAGTCAGACACGACTGAGCAACTGAATTGAACTGAACTGAATCATGGAAAGAGAGAGAAGCTAGTGAAAAACTCTGAAAACAAGTGATCAGAAAGTGTAAAGAAAACTAGTTGTTTCACAGATGCTAAGAAATTCAAGCTTTAAAAGCTCGAGTACCATCAAGCAGAGTGGATATAGAGATAAAATAAACTGAAATTGGTTAGCAGGACATAACGTGATATTTTGTATTGTTCAATTTGGTTCAAACTTCAGTTCCTTAGTTGTACTAGCTACATTTGAAATGCTCAAAAGTCAGATGTCACTGGTGGCTAGCATACCAGGCAACTCAAGCCTTTGAGTCATCACAGAAAGCCCTATTGGTATGTGCCTTTTGCTGGTGTTACTGTTTGTTTGTTTAAACATTCAGTAGGGCAGAAGCAAGAATGCAATGTGGAGACTGAACATGTTTTCTCTTATGCCCTCTACAGTAGTTTGCAATGCGCATTGTCTGCTTGATTTGATATCTTTAGCTTGATGTTACCTCTTCCCTTTTGCTTTTCAGTTTTAGCCTCACCCTCTTTTTTACTGGACTATCACAATGGCCACCTATCTGCCTTTGCATCTTGTTCTTTCTTCCTTTTAATTTTTTCTCCATATAAATCATTCATCCACTCAGCAACACTCTTATCAATGCCACTTTTCCTGGGAAGCCAACCTTAAGTTTTATTGATAGTCCACTGTGGTATGGTGCAAATGGGGGCACTGCATCAGCACCATAACCCACTCCAGTGTTCTTGCCTGGAGAATCCCAGGGACAGAGAAGCCTGGTGGTCTGCGGTCTATGCGGTAGCAGAGTCAGACACGACTGAAGCGACGTAGCAGCAGCAGCAGCATCATAAGGAAGTAACTTCTTTCCCACTCCCGTTTCCTTCCCTGCACTCACACAGCTCATAATCAATGCAAGCAGAATGATTATAATACATTCACATCACACAACATTACAGCAGGAACAATAGCTAATTATCATCCTCTCCTGGTGTCTTTTATTTCTGATCTGCCAGCAAATCTTTTCCCTTTTCACTTCAGCACTGCAATAACCTGTTACCTAGTCTTCTTTTAGTCTTTCTTCCTACCTTCCACCAGAAGCTCTGGTCATATTAGTCCCTTTCAGGGATCCTCTTAGGCCTACACAACAGAATGGTGTAAAGTCTTCCATAACATAGGACAACCCATCCTTCCTGTCCTACCTCCCTCAACATTCTTCCACACATCTTTCTGTGGTATTCATCACTCCCGGGCACGTTCAAACATATTCACCGCCCTCTCTCTTGTTCTTGCGAGTCATCTTTCAGACTCCAGAGTCCCCTCCCATACCCCTAATAAGACTCAGGAAGAAAGATGCAGGCAGTCCAAGGGGGAGGTGGGTACTACTGAGGGCCCGAGGGACACAAACATGTTTAACCATGTCCATTTGGGAAGCTACCCCAAATACGCTGCACTCACAACGGTTACTATACCCCCTCAAAAGACAACGTAATTTTCGCTGGAACGGAGAGGAGGCACCTCGGTAATCAAAGACTCTTGGCAGAGACAGATTTCAGCGAGTCTCTGGCAGGCGAAAGGGCTTGTGGGAGCGCCGTTCATCGCCCCAGCAGGCTCATGGGAAATGTAGTGCAGTTTTTCTCCAACATGGCGGCGCCCGGGTGAGTTGTGTGAGAGTACCCGCCGCGGTTTTCTGTGTTAAGAGTGGGAGAGCCTGGCGAAGGAGAGAGCTCCCGTTGGCTGAGAACCGCGCCTGAGCCAAGGTGGAGATTTGTGGCCCTTCTTATTGGTGGGAACGGAGGCCGCATATCTCCGCTTTCCTTGTTGCCTCTTCCGGTGTCCTCTTATTGCCCCAGGAGCTTCGGACCTCACCAGGGAGAGACGGGATTGTCCGTGGGCAGTAGGCAGTCGTGCGCGGAGTGGTTCTGTTAGAGTTTGAGGTGCATGTGCTCACGTGGTGCCTGTGTCCATCTGTTTTTTTGGAGGGTTGGAGACAAGCGGTTGTTATCTGGGGTTTGGTGTTAGCTTCAGAAGTTTTTCTGATCGGTGCCAGTGCGGCGAAGAGAGTGTTGCTGATGGTCTAGTAGCTTGCAAAGCTGTCTCTTCCTATTCCCTTTTTTTTTGAGTAATCCCTGGGACTCTTGTGCTCTTTGTAGTGTGAGCCAGTAGTTTTTGGCTGATTTCATTTAGCAAATACTTACTCTGTACTTTCCGAATGTCGCGCACTCAAATTCTGTGCCTTCAAGTAAGCGACAGCCTTCTGGGTGAACGCAGCACACAAGAAGTTATAATATGATGTGAAAATGCAGGGGTCTAGTTGCATATCATATATTAATGAAAACATTGAAGAGGGCCACCAAACTCAATTCTGGAGAAGAGGTTTAGAAGGTAAGATGGCAAATTCAGTAAATTTAGGCTTACTCAGTATGAGTTTATTGATTGGCTACTATGTAGTAGGTCCTGCTGTACGTGCTGGGTCTTACAGGGTGAATAATACAGACAAAAACCTCTACTTTCATTGTGGTGTTGTTCAGTCGCTCAGTGATGTCTGATTTTGCGACCGTGGACTGCAGCACGCCTGGCTACCATGTCCTTCACTATCTCCGGGAGTTTGCTCAGACTCATATCCATTTAATCGATGATGCCATCCAACCATCTCCTCCTCTGTTGTCCGCTGCTCTTGCCCTCACTCTTTCCCAGCAGCAGGATCTTTTCCAACGAGTCAGCTTTGTTACAGCTTTTCTTCCATTTTAGCAAGTTAAAGGAGAAAAACAGAATAAACACATTAATGAGGGCATTAGAAAATATAGAGTAGTTCTTTAAAGAATTGAAGTGATATGACAAGTGATGGGGTCAGTGTTTTCTAATCATTATATATATTTTTTCTTTTTAAATGGATAATGCAATTTGAATAGCTCCGAAATTGAAAAGTTGCAAAAGAGGCGCTTTCACTCCTTCTCATTGCTGTACCCCGTCTACCTATTTTCCCTTCCTTGAGTCAACCCATATTACTGATAATCTTGTATGTCCTAGAAATTTGTATGTATACTTTGTATATCTGTACTATACTTTATAACCAGGCCTCATTTGATAGGAATGTAAATTGTTTCCAGTCTTTGCTATTAATTAATTTATGTACAAGCACAGGAACATTTGTCTATACGACTTGGTTCATCATAGGCTCTCTTATTCAAGGAGAGCATAGACACATATATTATTATTTCCACTTAGGGCAGTATCCAATAGAATGTATTGGGGTTAAACTTACAGAGCAGATGCCATCTCAAAATTCTTATTATCCTATAGGGGGTGTGCTTGGGCCAGACACAGCATGGCTAATATTCTAATAAAATAGTGACCTCGCTGTTGTAACACCCCATAACAGTCCCAAAACATGGCAAGGCATGTGCAAGCCTTTGTGCAGTAGTGGAAATTCCTTGGCCCGGGAATTGGCCTTTTTAGAAAGGGTCACCTCCAAGTCTCAGCAGCTGTTATCAGCCTTTTCCTTGTTTAGGTGACTCAGACCCATCTTCACATGTAGATCTACATGTAGATCTTCACATGTAGATGTGCCTGACTGAGGGAAGGAAAGGGGAAAGGGGATACCAGAAATGTGATTATGAGGCTCCATCTACTGGTGCGGGATTTTTAGTGTCAGGCTTAAAACAATGTATTCAGCTTCTTTTCTTTCTTATTTCTTCCACTTTGCAGTCTTTGCTCATGTAATATATTTAGAAAAAAACTCTTAGTAGATTCATCCCCATTCTTTATTGCTGACTGCAAAAATGATGATCTTGGAATGGAATGGCAATAAGATAATTCCTTTGAGGCCCACTCAGCTTTTCTTGGTCTTTAAACCGGTCTCATCTGGCCCTTCTGGAAATTAACAGTAATTTAGTAATAGACATATGTAATCCTTTTAACAAACTTATGAATAGTGTCAAAGAGTAGCACAGCCAGACATTAGTTAAAGTAGTGAAAACAGATTTTATTTAGGTAACTATTGACAGTAGGGGAAAGAGCTAAGCTCTGTTCCGATTTGTGTGGAAGTGCTTAGGGTGTGTGAGTGGGGGTGCTCAGTAGAGTGAAAGTGAAAGTGTTAGTCACTCAGTCCTGTCTTTGCAACCCTGTGGACTGGGGCCCGTTAGGATTCTTTAGGCCAGAATACTGGAATGGGTTGCCATTTCCTTCTCTAGGGGATCTTCCTGATGCACCGGCTCAGTAGAGTTGTTCGGTGTAAATGCACTTAGGCCACCTGTTTGCTCACTGGCAGTTATAAAAATTAGGATTCCATCCTGTCACAAAGACTGTCACAGAAGCCCTGTGCTTCCTGATGATTACATTTCAAAGGGGAAAATTCCCTGCCAGTTCAGTGGTCTGCTAAGGGTGTGGGTTTAATCCTTGGTCAGGGAAATAAGATCTCACAAGCCACATGGTACAGCCAAAAAAGAAAAAAAAAAAAAAAACTGACAACAAACCCAGAAAACATTTCAAAAGAATAACACTCAGGTCCTTGAGTGAAACACTTATGAATTGTAAAAGATACTGATACATGTTCACAGCTGTAAGCTGTTTTTCATAAGTGCCTTAAAAAAAAGGAAGGTCAGAGGCCAATTGTTATGAGTTGCTAGAACAAATAGTAAAATTTCCTGGCAGAATTTTAAGTTTTCTCAGTCAACTATTTTTTTAAAATACTTATTTTTAATTGATTGACGATTGGCTTACAATATTGATTTGGTTTCTGTTGTGCATCAACATGAATTAACCTTAGGTGTGCATATGCCGCCTCCTTCTTGAATCTCCGTCCTGTCTCCCACCCATTCCCACCCCTCTAAGTTGTTACAGAGCCTCAGTTTGAGTTCCCTGAGCCATACAGCAAATTCCCATTGGTTATCTGTTTACATAAGTTAGTGTATATGCATCCATGCTACTCTTTCTATTTTTATCTCACCTTCTTCCTCCTCTCCCCCACCCTTGTCCATTAATAAGTCTATGCTGTACGACTACAGTCTCCATTGCTGCTCTTTGAACCAATTTGTTAGTACCATCCTTCTAGATTTCATATATATGTGTTAATACAATATTTGTTTTTTTTTTTCTTTCTGGCTTACTTTGTATAATAGGCTCTAGGTTCATCCATCTCATTAGAACTGACTCAAATGCGTTCCTTTTTATGGCTAAGTGGTATTCCATTGTATATATGTACCACAGCTTCTTTATCCATTCATCTGTTAATATACCTGTAGGTTTAGGCAAGCATTTTAATGAGAAGCTGGGATCATCCTAAGACCTGACTTTATGCCACTGTAAACCATGGTAGAGTTTGGTCACATTTTTTAGTGCAGGGTTTGGATGAAGTTATATGCCAAGAATAGGCCCTATTATTCCTATTTTATGGGTGAAGAAACCTAAGCATGAAAAAACTTAGTAACGCACACAGGTTCATTATAGCTAGTAAACGGTAAAGCTGAGGTTTGAACTAGAACTTTGACCCCTGAATAGTGTGTTATACTGTCTGAGGAGGCTCTGGGGAAACAAAAATATGATTTAATTCTTGTCATTAAAGAGCTTATAGTCCAGTGGAAGGGGACAAACAGGAAAACAAATAATTAGTGCGGTGTTAAAAATGTGTATTCAGCTGTCTCCTTCCTGTCTAATGATGACTCCCCAAACTTACTTTCTAACCTCATTTCTTTTCCTTTTGCCACTTTATATTTTCACCTGCCAGCCAGGCATTGGAACTGTGTATCTCACCAGTAATTCAAACAAATGAGATCCTAAATCTGACTCATCACCTCCCCTTACTGATCTGCTCTTCCTGACCCTCTTGTGACTCTGCAGTCAGAATTTGGAATGACATTACTGTAGCCTCTCCATCACTCACTCTGTCCTGTTAGTAAAGTCAAAGTGAAAGTGAAGTAATAGCCACTCTGTCCTATCTCACTCTCTGTGGCCCCATGGACTGTAGCCCACCAGGCTCCTCTGTCTGTGGAATTCTCCAGATAAGAATACTGAAGTGGGTAGCCATTCCCTTTTCCAGGGGATCTTCCTGACCCAGTGATTGAACCCAGGTCTCCGGCATTGCTGGAAGATTCTTTACTGTCTGAGCCACTAGTCTGATTCTTCTCTCTCTCATGTCTGAGTAGTCATCACGGTCTATTGACTTTTTTGAACTTAGCTTTTGCCCTCTCTTCCTATTTCCCTTTCCCTTCTTTCTACAGCCTTCACCCTCGGTGGGACCAGCATTTCTACTTGTTAAGCCGGGTTATTGCAAGTTCTTTTGCCTCTCATTTCCCTATTGTGCTGTCCAGCCAGCCTGTTTTACTGGCTTTACCTCCCGTCTCATGTGCTCCATGTATTGTTTAAGCTGGATTACTGATGTTTTTTCAGTAGTCTCAGCATTTTTATTCTGTATATTAAGACTACTAATTAGAGTTTTGACTGTTGAAGAGCTGCTTTGAAATGATTTTATTTAAGTTCTTAAGTTTATTTTGTTTGCTAACTTTGAAGACTTTCGAGTGGGTGAAGAGTGGTATTGGTGGATCAGCCATCATTCTCTGTTCTAAAAAATTATGTCTGCTACTCAATGTCTTTGCCAGACACATCCATTTCTGTTTTTAGCTTTTGTTTATTGCCTCGCTGGATCCCTTCCCTTCCTTATGACTGTGTATTCTTCTTGTCCTTTGATACTCATCTCAAGTCCCCTTCTGTTTTGAAATTCTCCCAAACTTTTCCAGTTAACATCAATCTTATCTTTTTTGTCTCTAATTTATATCACCCTTAAAAAACATTAACACTTTATTATCTAAAGCTATGTCATATTCTTTCATTGTTTAATGTTTGTCTGTTTTCCTCAACTAACTTATAAAGCTGTGTTGAAAGCATAAACCATGTATTGTATTTGTATGCTGTAGAGTGCTGAGTCCTTAAGTAGGCATGTGTGTATTCACACGTTGTTTGTTTATCCCTTCAACAAACTTTTGTTGAGCACCTGCTGTGTGTTGGCATTCCTGCTCTCCTGGAGTTTACATCCTGATGGAGTAATTAATGCAACAAATTAGTCATCACAAATTTGTTAAATTCTGTAAACAAAATAAAATAGGCTTCTGTAATAAAGCATGATGCAGGGTGCTGATTTGGGTAGTGTGAAGACCTTTTTGGGAAAGCACTCAGGAACTACTTACTGATTGACATATCTTTAAAAAAATGAAAACATAATTCTATGGTGTTCTTATACCTGTTATTTTAGAAGTTATAGATACCAAGTATTTAACATACACAGTTTATAAAAATAATAAACTCCTAAATCACCACCTAGCTTAAATACTTTTAATACTTCTATGTGTCCCTTTCATATTGCAGTTCTCTCTTCTCCCCTGAAGTAACTTCTCTCCTATACTTTGTATTTATCATTTACTTGCTTTTATGCTTTATATATATTTCTGAACAACATATGGTTTACTTTTGAATTTTGAACTTTATATAATGGAATCATACATATATTCTACTGTGAATTTTTTGGTTTTTCTTTTTTTTTCCTTTCCTAACATTGATGAGGGTGAAAAAGCTGGTTTAAAACTCAACATTCAAAAAACTAAGATCATGGCATCCAGTCCTATCACTTCATGGCAAATAGATGGGAAAAAAAGTGGAAACAGTGACAGCTTTTATTTTTGGGGGGCTCCAAAATCACTGCAGATGGTTACTGTAGTCATGAAACTAGAAGATACTCCTTGGAAGGAAAGTTATGACAAACCAGGACAGCATATTCAAAAGCAGAGACATCACTTTGCTGACAAAGGTCCATGTAGTCAAAGCTATGGTTTTTCCAGTAGTCAGTATGGATGTGAGAGTTGGAACGCAAAGAAGGTTGAGTACCAAAGAATTGAAGTTTTTGGATTGTGATGCTGGAGAAGACTGTTCAGAGTCCCTTGGACTGCAGGGAGATCCAACCAGGCCATCCTAAAGGAGATCAGCCCTGACTATTTATTGGAAGGACTGATGCTGAAGCTGAAGTTCCAGTACTTTGGCCACCTGATGGAAAGAGCTGACTCATTGGAAAAAACCCTGATGCTGGGAAAGATTGAGGGCAGGAGGAGAAGGGGACAGCAGAGGATGAGATGGTTGGATGGCATCACTGACTCAGTGGACATGAGTTTGAGCAAACTCCGGGAGAACGTGAGGGACAGGGAAGCCTGGTGTGCTGCAGTCCGTGAAGCCACAGAGTCAGATACTGACCAACAATAACAAGAACATGTGAGATTTGTCTGGTGCATTTTACTTATGACTTCATAAGTAAAGAGGTTGCATATGGGAAAACAGCCCACCTAATAGCACTAAAGCACTGACTTGTTTCGTAGAACCTACCAGAGATGCTGTTAGATGTTCTTGCTTCTTTGTTACCTTCTTAAATATTCCTTTGCTGTCCATGCATCTGTTTGTTCTCACTTCTCTTGGTTGGTGAAAAGTACAGTAGGCATTTAAAAATTGTCACATAGAAACATTTATAAAGTATAAAATACATGAACAGTATTGTAACTATCTATTTTAGATTCCTAAGGTTGACATTTTGACCTTCCTTTTTTCCCCCAGTATTGTCATGGACAGCAACCACCAAAGTAATTACAAACTCAGTAAAACTGAGAAGAAACTCTTAAGGAAACAGATTAAAGCCAGGCATACTTTGCTGAGACATGAAGGCATTGAGACAGTATCTTATGCTACTCAGGTAACCTAGAGCTATTATTATAATTTGAATTTAAACATATTGCCATATTATTGTGTTCTAAGTAGCATTGTTAATAATCGCTCAGAGAGGAAATTCCATATGTGTTACAATCTGTGTTAAATGTATATATATATGATAGGACCTTCTAACTGTGTTTTGGGACATAGCCAAGTATAATTTGAATTTCCATTGATTGTGTTGTTTGAACTAGCTGCTGCTGCTGCTGCTAAGTCACTTCAGTTGTTTCGGACTCTGTGCGACCCCATTGATGGCAGCCCACCAGGCTCCGCCATCCCTGGGTTTCTCCAGGCAAGAACACTGGAGTGGGTTGCCATTTCCTTCTCCAATGCATGAAAGTAAAAAGTGAAAGTGAAGTCGCTCAGTAGAGTCCGACTCTTCATGACCCCATGGACTGCAGCCTACCGGACTCCTCCGTCCATGGGATTTTCCAGGCAGGAGTACTGGAGTGGGTTGCCATTGCCTTCTCCTGTTTGAACTAGAGGAAGCTGCAATTCTGCATTAATAACAATAACACTATACATCTATTTACAGTTTACAAAGCATACTTTTATTCATTATTATATTTAATTCCCTAGAAGTCTTTGTGAGATCAGTGAGAAAACTAAGGTTCTGAGAGGTTGTGATATGTCCATTGATTAAGGTGTTGAATCGAAATCTCAAGCTAGATATTTTGTACCCTAATGCACTCTTCTTTCTTCTATTCCTAACTTCATCTCTATTATAAAGTATTTTAATTATATGCTGTGAAACATTTTTTATTTATGAGATTTTATTTATAAAACCTTTTTAATTAACTTACAGGCAATGATTAAATGATATATATGTATGTATGTACACACACATGCACACAACTCTTCCTGGGCTATGAATGAGGAGAAGTTAGCTTAACTCGTAGCTTCTCCACTTATTTGTACATGAGCAGTACCCTTTGACTTCAGCTTTCTTCATTTGTAAGAACATACTATTACATACCTTTTTATTCCATTGGGTTGTTAGAGAACATGTATATGATAAGAGAACATGTATATGTAAGAGAACATGTATATGATAAGAGAACATGTATATATGTAAAGAGAACATGTATATGATAGTACTTCCATATGAGTATAATTAAAATTATACTCATTAAAATACCATATGAGTATAAAGTATTCTTATGATATTCTTTCTGGTGGTAAAGATATAGGATAAGAATAGTAAGGAAACTTACCACTGAGGGCCAAAGAGATATAGTTTAGAAGGTGAAGCGGAGCTCAAAACTTAGATCTCTTGATTCTTAGACCACTACTCTTCTATCACGTTTATTTTGTCTTCTGTGCTGCATCAGTTTAGGAACGAGTGGAGGTTTAATATTAGCCCTACTTAGACTTTCTTAAATATTAATAGCTTCGGGCTCACCCACCCGTGGTGTCCACGCACAGTGTGCCTCACGCCCAGCTTCCCGTACTATTCCGTCACGGTCACGGGACTCCAGGTACTCCTGCTCCCGCTGCCTGTGCTCACGATGCTGGGTGGCTCGTGGGCTCCACGACCGATGAAATACAGTGTAATGTAATTAGGCAAGCTGCTTGTGGTGCGCGATGCATTCCTGTGGCCCGGTTCTGCAGTGTAGAGCAGGAGGGCTCAGACGGGAGGATGAGAAATGTGATTTGCAGATGCAGAATCCTTATCAAGCACTAAGTACTGAAGAAACAGTTGTAAGGCATCGTCTGAAAACCAGCCTAGTGGAGGCCTTTTCCTTCCCTGAAGTAGACCTTTGATAAGAGTGCACACACACAGATGAATAACTTCAGAGAATTTAAACCAAATCCCGCAAAAAAGGATTAAGCAGATAATAGATCAGAATTAATATATATGCACACACTTACTGCCAAGAGCCACTGAGGCTGTGAGGCATTCAGAAGATTAATGACATACTCTATTTTCATCAATTCTCAAGCATAACTGGCTCCCTCCCCCCCGCCCCCCCTTACAGGGGTTGTGTAGAAAAGTAGTAAGAAAAGAAATAGGTTTCTTTGCTGCCTCTGAAACTTGTTTCTGGTCGAGAGGTACTTTTCTTTTACATCTCTAGAAGTTTTAACCTCATCTTCATGGCTTTCAAACTGTGATTTTATTTGGACTTGATTATTTTTTTCTCCTCAGTATTTTTAAAGGAAGAGAAAACATTTGTAGAAGGACTTCCAATTATAAATTATCTATCTAGAGGAGAAAAAAATTCTCTTTTTACTATATGTCATAAGTATAGATATCTTTGTGGACTTCCTGGTGGTGATAGTGGTAAAGAACCTGCCTGCCAATGCAGGAGTCTTAAGAGACATAGGTTTGATCCCTGGGTTAGGAAGATCCCTTGGAGGGAGGCATGGCAATCCACTCCAGTGTTTTTGCCTAGAGAACCCGTGGACAGAGGAATCTGGCAGGTTGCAGCCCTTAGGGTCGCACAGAGTCAGACACGACTAAAGCAACTTAGCACTCATGCATGTAGGTATCTTTGTACAATGTTATAGTGATTATTAGGTTTTTCTAGAGCCATGGTCCTCAACTTATCAGGACTGAAGATAACTTTTAAAAAAATCTGAATTCTTTTCTTCATATTACTAGAAAAATTGCTTGACTGAACAACTGTTTATTGAAGTAAGTGTTGATTGTATAGCTCACATGTAATAGTAAGTAAGTCCCTCCTTCCCCTCCCCCATTGCACTTGTTTTCATGTGCTTTGCCTTCAGCGTTGCCCACACATCACTGGGACAGCATTTTTGTGTTCTACTACTACTCCTCAGGTCACCACTCACTCTCTTCCCCAGTTCCTAGGTGGGGCTGTGGATCCTTGCCATTTACAAAACTGTTGTAGTTCCTTAGATTTGGGAATACTGGTAATGTTTTTATATTTTGGCTACGTATGACTAAAGTTATTCTGGTACTTTAATTTATAATCTCACTGAATGAGGTCCAGGGTAAACCATCTGAGACTAAACTTTATACCATATTTTATAGTATTGTATTAGTGTGTTTATTATGTGTGTGTGTGTGTGTGTGTGTGTGTGTCTACTTACATGTTGTTCTTTCGTCACTAAGTCCTGTTCGGCTCTTTTGAGACCCCATGGATGGTAGTCTGCCAGGCTCCTCTGTCCATGGGATTTCCCAGGCAAGAGTACTATAGTGGGTTGCCATTTCCTTCTCCAGGGCATCTTCCCTATCCAGGGATCAAACATGCTTTTCCTGCACTCCGGGTGGATTCTTTACCACTGAGCCACCAAACATATAAAGTATTGGCTGCCCTGTAACAGAGCAGAGCTTTGCTTATTATCCAATTTTATAATAATTTCTTTTGCATTCTTTTAAAACAAGGTTCTAGACATGAACCTTCCCATTTTATACATATGAAACTGATACATTATGTTCTAAACTCCAACTTCATATAAATCAGGTGTTGGCAGACTACTGTCTTCAGCTTAAATCTGACTTGTTAGCTAAGAATGAGTTTTACATTTTAAGGATTGTTAAAAAATTATAACTAGAGACTTCGTAGATGCTGAGTAGATCAAGAAGAGATGGAAAGAATACATGGAAGAACTGTACAAAAAAGATCCTGATGAACTGGATAAGTTATGATAGTGTGGTCAGTTATCTAGAGCCCAGAGCCAGACATTCTGGAGTGTGAAGTCAAGTGGGCCTTACTTAGGAAGCACTGCTGTTAATAAAGCTAGTGGATATGATGGAATTCTAGTAGCTGTTCAGAACCCCAAAGGATAATGCTATCAAAGTGCTGCACTCAGTATATCAGCAAATCAGGAAGACCCAGCAGTGGCTACAGGACTGGAAAAGGTCCATCTTCATTCCAGTTCCCAGGAAGGGTAGTACTAAAGAATGTTCAAACCATCAGACAGTTGTACTCATCTCCCATGCTAGTAAGGTCATACTTAAAATCTTGCATGCTGGTCTTCAGCAATACGTGAACCACGAACTTCCAGATGTCCAAGTTGGGTTTAGAAAGGGCAGAGTAACCAGAGGTCAAATTGCCAACACTCTTCTGATCATAGAGAAAGCAAGAGAATTCAGAAAAACATCTATCTCTGTTTCATCAACTATGCTAAAGCCTTTGACTGTGTGGATCATAACAAATTTTGGAAAGCCCTCAAAGAGATGGGAATACCAGACCATCTAACCTGTCTCCTGAGAAACCTTTATGTGGGTCATGAAGCAACAGTTAGAACCCTGTACGGAACAGCTGATTGGTTCAGAATTAAGAAAAGAGTATGACAGGGCTATCTGCTGTCACCCTGTTTATTTAACCTATATGCTGAGCACATTATGTGAAATGCCAGGCTGGATGAGTTACAAGCTGGAATCAAGATAGGTGGGAGAAACATCAACAACCTCAGTTATGCAGATGATACCACTCTAATGGCAGAAAGTGAAGAGGAACTAAAGAACCTCTTGATGAAGGTGAAGGAGGAGAGTGAAATAGCTGGCTTAAAACTAAATGTTAATAAAACTAAGATCATGGCATCCTGCCCTAATACTTCATGGCAAATAGAAGAGGAAAAGGTGGAAGTAGTGACAGATTTCCTTCTCTTGGATTCTAAAATCACTGCAGATGGTGACTGTAGCCGTGAAATCAGATTATTGCTTCTTGGCAGGAAAACTATGACAAACCTAGACAGTGTGTTGAAAAGCAGACATATTACTCTGCCGACAAAAGGTCTGTATAGTCAAGGCTATCGTCTCCCCAGTGGTTGTGTACGGTAATGAGAGCTGGACTGTAAAGAAGGCAGAAAGTCAAAGAATTGATGCCTTTGAACTGTGGTGCTGGAGAAGACTCCTGAAAGTCCCTTGGACAGCAAGGATATCAAACCAGTAAATCTTAAGGGAAATCAACCCTGAATATACTTTGGAAGGACTGATGCTGAAGCTGAAGTTCCAGTATTTGGAAAAGTCCCTGATGCTAGGAAAAGATTGAGGACAGAAGGAGAAGAGGGCGTTTAGAGAATGAGATTGCTGGATGGCATCACCGATGCAGTGGACATGAGGTTGGGCAGACTTCGGGAGATGATGAGAGACAGAGAGGCTTAGCATGCTGCAGTCCCTGGACACAACTGGGCGACTGAACAACAATGAAAAATAATAAATGGGACTATGTGACAGAAGCTTATATGATCTGCAAAACCTAGAATATTTACTGTCTGGCATTTTCTAGAAAAGCTTTGCCAGTATCTGATGTAAATGATGAAACTGATGCGGGTAGGCCATTAGTTGTTTACTTTTGTTATGCTTCAGAATTTAAAGATTTTAACATGGTGAAGAATGTTTTTAAGTACAGAGACTATAAGGCTTCAAGCATCAGAATAAAAATAGGAGACCTCTCACCACCAAATTCCTTGAGTAAAGTTGAACAGGATTGCAAATGACAGGAAGTAAGCATGATATTTTCAAAGAAAGAAAATTAATTGCAAAATAACTGGATAATCCAGATATAGGAAACTTTTCCTATTTTATATTCAATAGAACTTGTAATTTTTTTTTTCTTTGAGGCAGTACCTTTACCTTTTGTTTTTAGTAAACATTGTATAATGGTTATATTAAAAAGTACAGATTCTGGAAACTGACAGAAGTAAATTTGAAACTCATCTCCAACTAATTATTACCTTAACTTCATTTTCTGATTTTTAGTTTTTTTGTATATGAAGTGGGGCTAATATTACCCACTTTGTAGGATTATCGTGAGGGCTTCTCAGATTGCATTAGTGGTAAATCCACCTGCCAGTGAAGGAGTTGCAGGGTTGTAGGTTCAATCCCTGGGTTGGGAAGATCCCCTGGAGTAGGTAGGAAATAGCAAACTGCTCCAGTATTCTTGCCTGGAAAACTCCATGGACAGAAGAGCTTGGTGGGCTACAGGCTATGGGGCCACAAAGAGTTGGACACAACTGAGTGCACACAGGATTGTTGTGAAGATTGTTTTAATGAAGATTGAGTATAAAATCATACAGCACGATGTCTAGCCAAAAAGCAAGATTTATGTAAATCCTTGTTTCTTCTCTACCTCTTCTTTCTGTTTCATTATGTTAAATTTATGAACAGTGAAAGTTATCTTTTAATTTGTGTTTATGGTCACTAAAAGGCTATTTAAAAATCAGTTATCATTACAATATTTTATTTGAAAATGTTATTTAAAAATAACAGGTTGATATCAACTGCTCATGTTACTTTCTTCTCTTGTCTTTTTAGAGTCTGATTGTTGCCAATGGTGGTTTGGGTAATCAAGTGAGTAGGAACCAACTGCTTCCGGTTTTAGAGAAATGTGGATTGGTGGATGCTCTCTTAATGCCACCTAACAAACCCTACTCATGTGTAAGATACACAACTGTAGAAGAATCCAAGAAAGCCTATGATACTCTCAATGGCAGAGAAATAGTGGATGATTTAGGACAAAAGATCATCCTGTACTTGAATTTTGTGGAAAAAGGTATATCATACAGGTATCTTTTTTAAAATGGTTTTTGCTTTTGTGTGTTTTCTTTCATATCTAAGTTGAAAGTTTCATTTATTGTGAAACAAAATAGGACACCCCCCATCCCCCCCACCTTTTTTAACCTTCTTTAAGTGCCTAGTATTGTATAGGCATGGGACTAGTAGTTGAAGGGAGATGATTTAGATACAGCTTATTATTTCTAAGAAGCTGGTCCCACCAACCTAACAATATATTTATTATATATGTTATTTATTTTGGAACCCTGCTGTCTAATTGTGTTTTTCAGTATTTATTGTTAAGGGTTCAGATTTATTTTACAGTGTCTACCTAGAAACTTTCAATTAATCACTTAGGAATTAATTGTGATCCAAATGATTGTGTGCCAAGGTTCACAATTATGGAGGAACAGCTTTAGTCACCAAAGATGCCTGAAGCTTTATGGTGGTGATAGTCAGTTGAACTTTCTGTGTTGGTAGAAATATGTTTATATTTTATATCTGTGTTGTCCAGCATGATTCTGTGGATTTTAAATTTTGATTTTATTTAAATAAATTCAGTTAACTAATTTAAATAAAAGTTTGACAGACTGATTTACAAAACTGCTGTAGGGGTTATTCTATCTTTTCACCACTGACCCATGGAAATGAGATATATTGAGATGAACTCTGATGTTTAAACATCTAATCTCCTTCTATTATATTCATTTGCTACCTGTTTAGGCAATTAAACAGTTTTGTCTAGATATGCTGTAGGTAAGTGAGTATATGTCAAAATTATGTTTTTAAAAATAAGATTCAAAGGAAACTTTAAATAACTCCTTTAAAGATATGTTTTATAAGTTATAATTCTTATGTCTGTATGTACTTAATTTTAAATCTGACTTAAGCTTTCAGATTTTGCAAAGCAGATTGTTTTCATATTTTGTTTTTGTGGTCAGTTTTTAAAAATTATATGGTTTAAGAATAAATCTTAATCAAAGAATATTATCATTGGGTTTTCCTCCAGCATGTTGAAAAACGTAAGAAATTGCATGAAATGAGTTTTGGAATGGTTTTTATTTGAAATCCTGTATTAGATCCTAATAGATCCAGAGGTTTTCTTTTTTTTTAAATTGTAGTTGACTTACAATGTGTTAGTTTCTGATATATAGTGAGGTGATTCAGTTATATATGTATGTGATATATTTTACACTATGGTTTACTATGGGATATTGAATATAGTTTTTGGTGCTACACAGTAGGACCTTGTTGTTTATCCATTTTATATGCTGTAGTTTGCATCTGCTAACCCCAAACTCACAAACCATGCCTCTCCTACTTTCCTGCCCTTGGCAAGCAACCAAAAATCTGCTCTCTATATCTGTAAGTCTGTTTCTATTTTGTAAATAAGATCATATGTGTCATATTTTAGATTCCACATATAACTAATATCATATAGTATTTGTCTCTGTCTTTCTCACTTACCTTAGTATGATAATCTCTGTGTTGATCCATGTTGCTACAGATGGTATGCTTTCATTTTTTATGGCTGAGTAGTATTCTATTTTGTGTGTGTGTGTGTGTGTGTGTGTGTGTGTACACACATACATCTTCGTTATCCATTCATCTGTCGATGGGCATTTATGTTTCTTCCATGTCTTGGCTGTTGTAAATAATGCTACTGGGAACATTGGTGTATGTGTATCTTTTTGAATTATTGTTTTGTCCAGATGTATGCCCAGGAGTGGAATTGCTGGGTCTAGCAACTCTAGATTTTCGAGAAACCACCATACTGTTATTTCACATTGTTTTTCTATTACTTGACCATAGAAGCAAAAATGAATATTTAAATTTTATATTAAGTATTTAGAATCTGGTTGGTTTATGGAGGGGCATACTGTAGATATGAGAAACCTTCTTTCTTAGATTTAAAAAGTGGCCTGATTGTGTTCAAACAAAATACTTAAGTAAATACTGTTATATTTGCTATTGGTAATTGCAGTGGATAAAATGTACCATGATTTTTATCTTAGCCTTTATTTTTGTATTTTTAATATGTTGTGTGCTGGGCTCTCTTGGGCAGTATACATACTGATATGTTGTATGCCTATCAACATTATTATTTCTAAAAATGAGGCTTAGAGTATTGACTAAAAAAAAAGTCACAACCTAGAAATTGAGAGTTATGTTTTATTTGGTGGGAGTGTTTAGGACTTTAGGCCCAGGAGACAGCCTCTCAAGTAGTCCTGAGAAACTGCTTTGAGGCAGTGAGGGAAGCAGTCAAGTTATGTAGAAGTTTGCAATACAGTCGGGCAGGTAGTCTGAATGTTAATGATTACTGTTAATTAGGGAAAATTGTATATCTTTCAAGTTAAGGAATTTAACACTTTCCTAAGTTTAGAAAGATGCAAGCGTCTGGGTATACTGAAATAATTTCTTCCACGTGTACCTCACCTATGTGGGACCAGAATCCTGTTTATTGACTTAAAAAAAAATTAACTTTTATTTTAATTGAAGGATAATTACTTTACAATATTGTGATGGTTTTTGCCATACATGGCCATGAGTCAGCCACAGGTGCACATGTGTCCACCCATCCTGAATGCCCCACCCATCTCCCTCCCCATCCCATCCCTCTGGGTTGTCCCAGAGCACTGATTTTGGGTGCCCTGCTCCATGCATCAAACTTGCACTGGTCATCTATTTTACATATGGTAATATACATTTTTCAATGCTATTCTCTCAGATTATCCCACTTTCACCTTCTCCCACAGAGTCCAAAAGTCTGTTCTTTACATCTGTGTCTCTTTTGCTGCCTTGCATATAGGATTGTCATTACCATCATTGTAAATTCCATATGTATGTGTTATTATACTGTATTGGTAGAGAGGGAAATGGCAACCCACTCCAGTATTCTTGCCTGGAGAATCCTATGGACGGAGGAGCCTGGTGGGCTGCTGTCCATGGGGTTGCACAGAGTCGGACACAACTGGAGCGACTTAGCATGCATGCATGCATTGGAGAAGGAAATGGCAACCCACTCCAGTATTCTTGCCTGGAGAATCCCAGGGACAGAGGAGCCTGGTGGGCTGCTGTCTATGGGGTCGCACAGAGTCAGACACGACTGAAGTGACTTAGCAGCATACTGTATTGGTGTTTCTCTTTCTCACTTACTTCACTCTGTATGATAGATTCCAGTTTATCCACCTCATTAGAACTGACTCAAATGTGTTCCCTTTTATAGTTGAGTAATATCCCATTGTGTATATGTACCACAACTTCCTTAACCATGTGTCTGCCAATGGACACCTTGGTTGCTTTCATGTCCTACCTATTGTAAACAGTGCTGCAGTGAACATTGGGGTACATGTGTCTCTTTCAGTTCTGGTTTCCTCAGTGTGTATGCCCAGCAGTGGGATTGCTGAGTCATATGACAGTTTTGTTTCCAGTTTTATAAGGAATCTCCATGTGGTTCTCCATAGTGGCTATACCAGTGTGCATTCCCACTAACAGTGTAAGAGGGTTCTCTTTACTCCACACCCTCTCCAACATTTATTGTTTGTAGATATTTTGATGGTGGCCATTCTGACTGGCATGAGATGATACCTCATCATGGTTTTGATTTGCATTTCTCTAATAATGAGTGATGTTGAGCATCTTTTCACATGCTTATTAGCCATCTGTATGTCTTCTTTGGAGAAATGTCTGTTTAGTTCTTTGGCCATTTTTTGATTGGGTTATTTATTTTTCTTTTGAGTTGCATGGGCTGTTTGTATATTTTGGAGATTAATTCTTTGTCAGTTGTTTCATTTGCTGTTATTTTCTTTTATTCTGAAAACTGCATTTTCACATTGCTTATAGTTTCCTTCATTTGCAGAAGCTTTTAAGTTTAATTAGGTTCCATTTGTTTATTTTTGCTTTTATTTCCATTACTTTGGGAGGTGGGTCATAGAGGATCTTCATGTGGATTAAGTGTTCTGTCTATATATTCCTCTAAAAGTTTTATAGTTTCTGGTGTTACATTTAGATCTTTAATCCATTTTGAAGTTATTTTTGTGTATGGTGTTAGAAAGTATTCTAGTTTCATTTTTTTACACATGGTTGACCAGTTTTCCCAGCACCACTTGCTAGAGAGACTGTCTTTTCTCAATTGTATGTTTTTGCCTCCTTTGTCCAAAATATAAGGTGTCCAGAGGTGCATGGATGTGTATCTGGGCTTTCTGTTTTGTTCCATTGATCTATATTTCTGTCTTTGTGCCAATACCATACTGTGTTAATGACTGCAGCTTTGTAATATAGTCTGAATTCAGGCAGGTTGATTCCTCCAGTTCCATTCTTCTTTCTCAAGATTGCTTTGGCTATTCAAGTTTTTTTATGTTTCCATACAAATTGTGAAATTATTTGTTCTAGCTCTGTTAAAAATACCATTGGTAACTTTATAGGAGTTGCATTGAATCTATAGATTGCTTTGGGTAGTGTGCTTATTTTCACTAGATTGATTCTTCCAATCCACGAACATGGTATATTTCTCTATCTATTTGTCATCTTTGATTTCTTAATCGTCGTTGTTTTATAGTTTTCTATATATAGGTCTTTTGTTTCTTTAGGTAAATTTATTCCTAAGTATTTTATTCTTTTCATTGCAATGGTGAATGGGATTGTTTCCTTAATTTCTCTTTCTGTTTTTTCATTGTTAGTGTATAGGAATTCAAGTGACTTCTGTGTATTAATTTTATATCCTGCAACTTTACTATATTCATTGATTAGCTCTAGTAATTTTCTGGTGGTATCTTTAGGGTTTTCTATATAGAGGATCATGTCATCTACAAACAGTGAGAGTTTTACTTCTTTTCCAATTTGGATTCCTTTTATTTCTTCTTCTTCTCTGATTGCTGTGGCTAGGCCTTCCAAAACTATGTTGGAAAGTAGTTGTGAGAGTTGGCACCTTTTTTCCCTCATTTTAGAGAAAATCCTTTCAGTTTTTCACCATTGAGGATAATGTTCACTGTGGGTTTG